CCAGAAATTTTTACAAGAATTGCAAAAAGAAGTAGAGGAAGCATTGAGAAAAGGGTGTGTTTATTAAGGGTTTGGGTCAAAATCCCGATAAGCGAAATCCCGACAGGTTGTGATCCAGACTAGGGATGGGTTCGGCCGGTCACAGTCATGACCGCGATCGGTCATACGATCAAATAACCGGTCATAGCCGATTATTCAAATATCCAAATTAGGGATGGGACACTGCACAGACTGCATTTAAAATTTATTTTGTTCTAGATCTGGCTAAATGATCGGCAAATTTGACCAGAATTATAAACTATTTATCATCTGGCATCGGTCATAATATTGACCGGCATGACCTGACCGAACCATCCCTAATCCCGACAAAAAATCCCGACAGCCATAAATCCGACCCCGGCAATTAAAAATTCTGATAAAAAAATCATAAGCCATAGTTAACCCTAGCCTAACCCCTATCTAAAGTGACATAACCCTATAGTTAATTAACCATAAAGTTAATTAAATTATAAGATTCTACTTCCCTTTGAACATATCTCATATTTGGGATTTTCTACTTGAAAATTCTGACTATCAGGATTTTTAATTGTCAGGATTTTTGACTGTCGGAGTTTTTTTTATCAGGATTATGACCTGTCGGGATTTTGACCGGCACCCGTTTATTAATAACAATATTCAGTGAATCAAATCATCCAGTATTATCAATTAAATTATATTTTATAGTGAAGAAGTTGATGCATCATGGCAGCCCGAATTTGGAGCATATATGATCGAAGGTGTTGATCTGATTTGACTTTATTTGGTTTCAATTATTATTTATTTCAGTTATTTTAGTGAATCATTTATGAATGGTTAATTAGGAGTGCCTGGTATTCCTTACGGAAGTTCTTTAAAAAGTTTGACTCTGGTTGAACAAAATATGAAACGTAGAAGAGAAATTGCATCCAAATATTTAAACCCAAATGAAAGTTTAGTCACTTTAGTCAGCTTCCCACGTCTTGGTTGCTCAAGTCAATTCTTAGAGCCTCATCATGAGCCATTTGGGCCAGAGTTAAGAAGTTTATTTGTGCCGGATGAAGCCATGAATCCACATGATAAATTTCGGTACGTAATTCATAATTTATTTGTTTACGTATTCATATATAATGAACTATAATTTGTTAAACGAAAAAGAGCTTTGAATGTTGGTATTGAAGATCGTCGAGGATCGAAGGTCGCTTTCAATGTTCCTATTTTTCATGACAAAAAGGGTCATGATTTATTTATTTACTGTGATAAAGCTTTACCGGATCATATATATATGGATTCGTTAGTTTTCGTGTGTGGCTGCTGTTGTCTACAAACAACTATTCAAGCTTGTAATATTAGAGAAGCTAGGAAATTATATGATCAATTGGCAATTTTTTGTCCTATTATGGTATTGTACGTTTACTGTTATAAAGTTATTTACGTATATTGACTAATATTTATATTTATACGTATATAGTTAGCGTTAACTGCTGCCGCGCCAATTTGGCGAGGCTATTTGTCTGACGCAGATTGTAGATGGATTTTATTTGCAAAAGGTGCTGATGATCGTACAAAAGAAGAACGGGGTTTAGAAGTTAGATTTTTCATATTTTATATATCAATTTTCAGTAAAATCTGTTCCAAAATTTAATCCAACACTAACTGTAACATATTCTTGTCTTTCATCATAGCCTCTTAAGAATGATCGATTCTTAATAAATAAGTCACGCTATGATTCGATATCTTATTATATTTCGACCGATAAGGCTCTAAAGGAAGAGTATAACGATCTAAACACTGCGTATGATCCAAATATTTATAAAAAACTAACAGATAATGGTACGTTTGTACGAATTATTTCTACGTATTGTAATACAGTCAGGCACATTACCAAAAATGGCAATCGATTCTAGATCGTTCCATTTAATTTTGATTGGCTTACAGC